CAGCCGTGGGTGCTTGTTTGCTTTATCTTACACACCAGTACAGAAATGTTATTCCTGTCCTCAACTCTTCGTCTGAGACCCCCTTAATTTCAAAATTCTAATAATTCACTGGGAGGGGGTTTACGTTTTCTATTCCAAGGGAGGCTCCTGCTTTCCTTAGCAGACACTTGGCTTTCAGAGAGGTTCCAAAACCAACAGGTTCCAAACGCTGCTTTGCCCAAGTAAATGGGGAAAACAGAGGCAAAAGGCTTCCTTTAAATAAAAACCCAATGCAATTTAAAATTACATGGTGCTAGCTAATTTTTCTCAGTTGTTATGAGAATGATAGTTTTGAACGCTATTAGAAATACTATAGAAGGAAATTATATTAGAGCTGAAATTGAGAGAAAATGTTTATTGTGTCTGCAGCAAGTGAAAATTGCCTACCAAAAAATTTGGTACACCAATAAAGTCTTGTACTTTCCATAGTAGTAATTGCATTTTATCTTATCTATTAGCTCCCTCTAATTAGTGCCAAAGCTGTAATGATGGGTGAAATGAGCTTGAAGAGGACAGGTGGCCATCATTACAATCTCCATACATTGTTCACAGAACCTGAAAATCTCACCAGAAAGACAAAGGTTCATAGTAGATTAACAAAAACAGTAAGGTTTGGTTGATAACCTTAAAACTGCTAGATATATTACACAAATTCTTGCCAAGAGCTTCATTTTGTTTTACGGCAGTTTGAAATATTTTTTTCTCTATTTTGGCCTTTTATTTTCATTTCCTCCTAAGGGTGTAGGAATAGACTGCTGAGTTCATCTGCTTTATGTCAGTCAGAAATGTCTCTGTACAGAAAGGAGGAAAAGAAATATTGCTAATGGAAAATACTAATTTAAGGAAAAGAGCAAACTTATTATGAGTATATGATAATTTCTTCTCAGTATTTGAAAACTAATAAAACCCCTGAAAATAAACTATTTAAAAGAGTAATTAAATCCATAAAACAGAGTTGATTGAATTTTCAGTTGCTTTTGTAAAATTCACAAGAAAAATTGCTTAATAACAAATTTTATGGAGATGTATAATTTTTCCAGAATTTTAATTCACAACAGATTTTCTTCCTTCCTTAAATTTTCCCAAAGTACTTCAACTTCACTGAATGAAGAAGGACTAGTAATAGACCAAGATTTTATAATGTTTATCAAAGCATATGACTATAATTTTCAAAAGGATTTCATCATTAGTTAAATCAGTGGCGGCTTCTGAAATTTGGTGCATTTTCCTGATAAGATTTTTTTAATTACACTTTTTTGATGGCAAAGGATACATTTAAGATTCTCTTTCTTCTAATTAAAATTTTGCTGACATTTTAGGGTACAATTCAATTGCTACTGCACATTTGATGTGCCTCAAAAATCTTTAAGGACCACTAAAAAGGTTGTTTTACTTTCCTTCACAGATGCCTTTTTTACTGTAGAGAAAAGAAAAAAAAGCAGAGCAAAACTAGACTGAATTCTGTTGTCTCACTCTGGCATGGCTCAGAGTGTGTGCCGAAGTCCAGGATCTTTCATTTTTGTATGTAAAATGTGTTAATTTGTCCCAAGCAAGCTCACAGAAGTATTTGCAATGAGGTGACTGCCTGAAGTCAAGTCTCAAATCAAATGGGACATTAGTAATCAAAAAGGTGTTTAAGGATCCATCACAGGCAGTTACATTTCATCTAGTTTTTGCAGTTACATTTTATACCTATAAGTATTTTGGAACTGTGGTATGTCACATAATTTTATAACTAAATATTTTTCAGTAATTTATTTTTAAAAATAATAATTATTTCACTATTTATTAATTTTAATGATTTTAAATTTTAATTGCAATATATATTTGCAATTGTAAAAATACCCCATGCATTTTACACCAGCACGGAAAATCACATATACACATAAGCAGATGCACAAGTACCATTTAAATTTCTGTGCTTTTTGTTATAATCAGCATGTTCTTAGTATAATGGTACATTAAAGTATCCAGAAAATTTTTGTAAATCAATTATCATTTATCAGCTATGCAATAAGACCAAACATGTCTGTATGCATGTGTTTCTACACAAATAAATACAAAAAAAGAGCAGTGATTTTTCTAGTCAGCAAATTGTATCAGCCTATGATTTTGTGTATAACTAAGTAAACTGCTCACTCTTATGGAGGGCAAGAAGGGATAATTGTGTTAAATAATTAATAAACGGGATGATAGTGTAACAATGATATCTGAAAAATACGGCAGAATTTTAAGGTCTCATCTGGAAATAAACTGTACCAGTGCTTTTGCTGATTACATTTAGATATAATTTCCAATACATTAGAGAATTTACTATGCCCTTCAGGAGCTAGGAACGCATCAACTCAAGGCATTTAGTTTTGAAAGTATTTTAAATATTACCAAGGAGACAATTTTCTTCCTGTCTGATGATGTCCTTTTGGCTCCAGTATCAAAATCATTACATGTGTTTTGTAACCATAAAACCATATCTGAATGCCTCATCCTTCACAAATGCAAGTTAAACTTCACTTGTGATTAAATTTGAATGAAAGGATATTGCTAATTTCTAACAGACTTGATGGACATCTATCTTTGTTGTGATGCCTACAGAAATTGAATCCCTCAACAAGTAAACCACTCTGCACAAAAATGCTAATAAATGGGAGAGCTTTATGGGATGGAGAGGAAAAGCGTGTTCCCCATTGTACTAAGCACCTGCAGCAAGGTGCAGCCAGCTGATGTAGTAAACAATGAGACTGTTTTTCAAATGAGAAAATCAGCCTTCAGGCCTCCATCTACCTAAAATAACTGGTTTTAGGTATTGCAGCTTAGAGGTTCTACAGGGACTTGTGGCCTGTTCAGCGCTGGAGCAGTGCTATGCTCAGGTACATGTACAGCCCCACAGATGTGAGTACCAGCTCACAGGCTTCCTAACAATCAGTTTGGAAAATCAGATTCTTTGAAACATGCACCTTTCTGGGGACAAGCTAGCCAGGACAATGAAACCACGAAGACTCCAGAAACAAAAATCCTGAAAACTAAGTGCCATGCATCACTACATTGTGCCACTCCTGACATGCATGGGACACCACGTACAAACCATTTCTCAGCCACCTGCAGTGATTCTGGCCCTGAAATTGTCCTGGATGCTGCTATTGCAATGAAATTGATGTCGAAAACTCATAGCCAGCTCAAGTCTAAACTGGCAACTAGATCATTAGGGCAGCTGTGAGAAACAATTTATGAAGTTTAAGGCCAGAATTAGATCATCTAGTTTGACCTTGTGTACATCACAGGCCATTACATTTCATCTAGTTATGACTATATCTTGCTCCATTAGCTCTGTTTTATTTATGTGTGCTCTTCTGTCAGGCAGCTAGACCTAAAGTCAACACAGGGAGAGGCAAATACCTGTCACTCCCCTTAGAACAGTGTCTAATCATTGATCTTGGATCAAGTAAGGAAATATGTGTTTTTATCTAAATACATTGGACCTTTTTCCACATGCTGGCTTGTCCACTGTATCAAAGTACACTGTATCAAAGATTATGTACTGTATCTTCTGATTATTTTTGAGAGATTTTTTGTTTGGATTTTTTTTTTCTGAGCATTCCAAAATTTTCTGAGGAGATAAGGAAAATTTATTCTGGTTTTGTCTGGAAGATGCTCTACTTGTTTCAGTCCTAATATGAGTTTTGAGTTTCTTTGGGTTTTTTGAGTGATATTTTACAGCTGTGAAGAATTCTCCTAGTAGTCAATTTTGCACTGTACAGAGAGATAAAATTACCTTAATCTCCTCTCCAAATCACTTCTTCCTTGTTTATACACTCATTGCTCTTATTAACTTTGTTATCACATCAGTGTAATTTCTCATGTCGAATTGCTTTTTGCATTGTGACCTCTAATGCTCATTGAGAGCCATTGAGCCCAAGTATATGTTTTCATGTACTCTCCTGCCTACTTTGCTCTTAAGCATACAATCTAGCCCTTATGTACATCCAGGGCTCTGTTGTATGGATTTTTTTTTAATCACTGTACTCATTTCTCTGGTGAGCAAAGGATCAAACTGCTTAGTATGCTCCCATAAATGGTTTGTTTTAGCCTCAGGCTGAAAATGATCACATTAGAATTGAAAGTGCTAATGTACCACAAAGTAACCCTGGGGTCCCAGAATTAAAGGCATATTTAGTACTTGGTCCTGGGACCTTAAAGCATTTGCAGTTCAAAAGTTTAAAAGTGGTCAAAAAAAATAGGGTCTTGCATGTTGTTGCCATTCTTAATTTTGAGTCCTCCAGATCTGTGAGATGACATTTTCTGTACTATTGCCATTAAGCCTGAAAACATGAAAAGAAGAAAAAGACAGTTGCTTATTCTAATTAAAATGTAAGGTATTAAAAATGGAGCTCCTACCCCATTGAATTGGATATCCTGATGGACTTGCAGGAGCAGCAGAACTGCAGAGAATTATGGAAATGCTTTCTTTTAAAATCTACTGTTTTCTCAAGTAAATTTACAAGGCTAACTTTGTAAACAAACAGTTAAGGGAAGATAGGCATCATGGGATTTCTTTGCTCATGTCAGTTTGTTCATCCTGAACATAAGGTCAGTGATCTTCCTTCTCTAAGACTACATCGCATCTCCAAGAGATATTATGTTTTGCATTTATATTGGCCACAAAGTGGAATTACCAAACAAAGTGAGCATTATGACCCTTGCTATAAGCATATTTCATTTAATCCTCTTATCCTGCTCTTTGTTTCACAGAGGTGTACTTCAGCTTTCGAATGCATCATTTGAAAACAAGAGATGGCATGCACTGAAGCTGGGAAAATACCATGCTTCATAAATTGAGGGGAAAATTTGGCCTTCATAATGGAAAATTCAGAGTGAAGTCCAGACTCTACTAGAGTCAGTGGAAAAACTCCCATTGACCTTACAGGGGTCATGGGTCTGCTTTACTTTCTAAGGTGAGTGTTGGAGAGATTCTAGTCTGTGTCTCTCATGTTTTCCTAGGTTATAGGCTCACCAGCCTCCAGTCTGCAAAGCAAAAAATTGAGACAAATCCAAATAATTATCTTCTCTTAATCTCCAGCATCTCTCTTAGATACAAGCTACACTGCCATACTTGATAATAAATCCTGATATTCAGCTAACAGACCACAGAGCAGAACTTTTAACTTCTATTTTTCAAGATAAGTATATTTTTCCCACTCACACCAAGCTTCTCTTTCTCCTCTCTAAATGACAGGCCTAGAATTGAGGTTGCAGTTCCAGGGGCAGCCTGCTTTCAGCTCTGACATGAAAGTTCTTGGTGAAGCAGCTATGGGCAAAATAGCTGTAGTCTTTGATGGATGGATGCTTTCCTCCCTGTACTGCTCCCAAGGCACATTGCCAGAGAAAATCATGATTCTAGGTGAAGGGATGCCGTGAGTGACTGATGAATGTACTGTCTGTTGAGTAAATGTGCTCTCTTTGACAAAGTTACAAAACACTACACCAATGCTTGTTTCCCTGAACATCCCATGGTTATGTACACTACTGCACATAGGCTATTATCTCAAAGTTCTTTCAACCAAAAAAACAGCAAAAGTCTTGAGGTGGGCAAGAAGTAAACTTCTGTTCCCCAAGCATATCAAAGGTATGTTTGGTGAAAAACTTAAGAGTGCTGTGACATGGAACTACATCTGGATAGGGCACGTGAGGGCTCATGCTGTCTGATTTCTGGCCACAGAGAAGTACTGCAGGAGCAGAGTGCAAGGGAGAAATGCTGCCCTTGGACCTGCTTCTGGTTCCCTGCAGCCTTTCTCCATGTTTGCTGCTAGATGGCTCATTGTAACACCTCCCAATGCCTCCCTATAGGAACCTGCTTAAGTGAAATGCTATTTTAAAAATTAATTTCCTCCTGGATCATCTTGTTTGGGTGATCCTTTTTGATTTATCAAGGAAAAAAAAACAAACCCAAACCCAACCCAAAACATAAAATGGCACAAGACACAACTCTTGTCAACTGACATAAAATAACATTTCTCTTGTATGTTCAGCTGCCACTCAGAGAGATGGTGAGGAGAAAGCACTCTTAGTCTGTCCATCCTGAGCCAGGAATTAAATAGAATTCTTGGATGCAGAAGCTCTGGCTTGAAATTCCATCTGAACAACATTCTGACATTGGATTAGAGACAAATGCAAAGCTTGTAGAATTCTTACTTGCGTGAAGATTCTGCATGTTCTTGAGATTTCGAAGTCCAAACTCTAAACAAAGCATTTTTATGGTCCGAGAAATGTTTCTTCATTTTCTTTTTCTTCAGTCAGCAGTTATATCTAACAAAATAGATGTAACTTTAGAAGTCACTTTGGTTGATCCAGAAGTTAATCTCTGAAGTGCTACCTAAAGCAGACCAGTGGCCAGATCTCCACCTGGTACCAGTCACTGATCCTCCATATAAGTCAGCAGCCAATGGGGGTAGATGTCAGCTTTATAATCTGTTTGCTGCTGTTTCCCTGGTCTGCTTTGCACAAGACAATTGGGTACTATCAGACATAGAAAAAACACAGACCCAGACTTTATTTTTTGTGAGTAGTGACTCTGTGCAGGAAAATTTAAGGGCAGGCCAGGCACAGACTTTCACTTGTGTTGTCCAAAAGTGGAATATGAGTGCTTTTTCCTCACTATACTTAAAACTTAAGAGAGGACAAAGACTAATTCTAAATTGATTCAGACTCTGCTTACTGCATCTGTCAAGGTCTCCTGGGATTCTCTAGCAGTCCTAGTCTACACAAGTCCTAGGACCACTGCTGTCCACAGAAGTTTTATTTAAGCTTACAAACTGTTGCTCTAATTTCAGCCTTTTCTTAATATTTGGATAAGGGATACACATAATGATTCTGCTTATGATGACTGGGAGTAGTTAATTCTGTGTTGTTATGAATGCTGGCTGCCCACGGGGACCCCTCCTTGGACACCATGAGCATTAGAGGTGCTCTCTGCATGGCTGCTTCGTACAGGGCTGGAGAGCATAAAAGGTGAGGAAGCAAGCAGGCTGGTGGAAGGATATGGGGTGGCCATGGCTTGTGCATGTATGTGTGTATGTGCATGCAAGCAGAGGGACACCGGCAGCTCAGGGATGGGAGTTGCCTCCCTAGTTACCCTCTCCTCTCTCTGGCATCTCTAGATTGAGCATGTGGGTGTGAGAAAAGCTGTCCTTGAGAGCCCTTGTGGATATTGAGTTACTACCAGGAGGCCATTAGCAGTAACACTATTAATCTTCTCACAGACATTTAGAGAATAAACCACAAACCATGCAAGAGCAGCCAGTAGGGAGGGATGAAGCATTGAAAGGTGGCCTGTCTTTCAGAGCCCAGAGGAAAACCACAACTGCAGGGCTCTACCAAGTAGCAAGTGAGCTGTGATCCTGCATGACACTGGCTTACCATCAGAGCCAAGGTTAAAAAGTGAAATGTGACCTGCAGGAAGACCTGGTCTTGCAAATGTCCCAGTTCATTTGGCTCAGGCAAACTCAAGGAGCCAGGCTTGGACAGAGAACCATTGGAAAGATGGAGTGGTGAGTGCAAGGTCACATAAGCCTTGATTAGACTTCTGAGGGTTTGCTCCTGATGCATTAATTTTTTTTTTGTCTTTGATATGAAATGCATCAAGGAAGAAGAATTTTGCAGGGAAAGGTTGTTTATTGTGGGATCTCAGCACCTCAGGACCGAGGTGCCGAGTCACCGAGACCACCCTTGGGGGGCTCGGGAGTCCTGGAATGTTGCCAGAAGTGTCTGGTGGCTGGACTTTGATCCTACACAGGAGACGACATTTGTATGAGGATAGGAGGATTTCACCGGAGTGAATGGTGAAGGGATAAGTTAATTAGAGAGTGAAACACAGGGTTTAGGATTTCTGTACAGGGGGTTTTAGAGAAGTAAGATGGAGGAATTGGGGCATGTCCTGTCCTTCTTCTTCTTCTTCTTCTTCTCCTCCATCTTCTGTGGTGATGGTGGCACTTTGGGATTGGTTATTACTAAAAGTGCACTGGTTAATAAGGGTGAAAGGTATTGGGGAAAAATGATAAATATTGTACACGTAACTTTGGGTATAAAGATAGGTGACCACCCGGAGGGCAGGGGAGTGTGCTCATGGCTGGCTGCTGAGCAGACCTCTGTCGGGCTGAGAGAAAATCTTTTAGATAAACAATTAATAAACACCGAGACCGAGAAAAGAACTGAAGTCTCTTCTCATCCTTTGAAACGCGGGCTGCCCCAAGGTCACCCCGGGCCTTTCCAGGCCCTCCAAACAGCCGAAAATCGTACAGTTTATAAAGAGCATATAAAGACTGTCCAGGAATTGTGCCATTAACTGGTGCTCTTATCTACCACCTGCACCTTATTTGTCTCTTCAGTGTCCTTTAAATATTATTCACTAATGCTGTTGAAGCATCATGTGATTATTTAGCAGCTACTTAGGATATCAGGAATTAACATGTATGTAACATCATTAAGATGGGCGTGTCTCTGTCCTTGGATGGCTTGACTTCTACCTCACTTATCATCATCTCCAGCAGAGAAAACCTATTGCTTCTAGTCTGACCTCTAAGGCAGAAAAGAAATTCCAAATAATGTAAAGGAGGAAAAATCTCACTATCCATCATATTGAAAATATTGGTGACATCCTCTAGGTTCACCAGAACAGGCAAAACCTGAGCTTTTAGTCTTTCTCGGTATTGTGGGACATCTTTTCTTCTCCATGTTTCTTTGGCAGTGGGAGAGGTTACACAGGTTGGTATTGTCTAAGAGGATGGATATTTTCACAGCGATAAAACGAAGTCAGAAGTCAGTGCTTTTCACCTACCTCACTGTCTCTGGTGGTGTTTATTTCAGTTCCATGAAACTGAAAAAGAAGAGAAGGATGGGCTCCTGCTTGGTGAATCTAAATTCCCTTGTAAAGCAAAGATTAGGTCTTCAGGATCATGGTACATGGGACATGCACACCTTAGTCAAAATATAGCTGCACATTGAAATGCACGAGGGAAGTGCTTTGGACAGGTAAGCTAGAGGTGCCCTGACTAACAGGGACATCAGAATCTGTCCTAAAAGGCAAACATTTAAAGAATGGCCTGTACTCATCTACGTCTTAGTCTTACCACAAGCACTTCTGTACAACCCAAGCAGGAGATGTGAGTTTCCTGTTGTACTATTGTGGGTTTAGACCTAATAGTAGAAGCACTATTTGAAATTATTAAAAGCTGACCCTAAAAGCATACTGAAGGTATCATCAATGTGAAGACAGCAATCATCTCCTGTTTGTTTAAACTGTGGTGTGTACTCAAGCCCATATGTACAGCACAGATGATTAGACTACTATCCTTCTTGCTGAATATGAAAAGACTGCACATAAAAAGAGAATAGCAAACTAATTGTCTAGAACACTGGTTTCCAAGATACAGTATATGAAGATTAATGTTTGCATTTTCCCTTAGAATGGGAGATAGTGACCTTAAATAAATTGCTCTGAATTGCAGTAATGAACAGTGAGAATAAATCAGTTTCCTCTTTCATTTCCAGCCCTACCACATAATCTCCAGCAATCTAAGGAGATTTCCACAGCTGGCATCTCAATGTCTATTATTATTTCTACATATTGAAGTTGGTCCTCTAATCAATACAGCAATAAAAACTACAGCTGTGCCTGTGGCTTCTCCTCTCCAACCCTAAGTTCTCCCCTTCTCCAGCACCAGCATTCTTGGGAGCTGAAGCAGCAGGGATTGAAAACATCCATAGACATTCCCCATGTTGTTTTTTGACTCCTGGAGGCAATGGAGCGGGCAGTGAGAGCTGCAAGAGGGGCAGTAGGTCAGTGGGTAATGAGAGCTGCAAGGGGGGCAGTGGGCCAGTGGACAATGGGCTGGAGAGACAGTTTCTTTGAGAACCTGGCCTGTATGTAGGCTGCCTCATACTCACTAATTTTCACCTGCCCTAGCCTAGCAGGTCAGATTCATACAGTCTGACATGAGCATGAGGGTGACAAAGCCACCATGTACTTGATAGTCAATCATCAAGAATGAAATTCCTCAGTGTTTGCCTCCCATTAGTGATGGTCACTGCCTATTAGCTGTCTTTTCTGTGTATGAAGTTGCTATTCAGGCAAATAACTGAAGGCAATAAACCTCAAACCAGCAGAGAGGTAAGGAATAATAAAACTGGGGAAAAAAATTAAGGCTGGCCTTGCTGTGACAAATAGTCACAAGAATAAGTGAGCTTTATTTTTGAAATGTCTCTATAAACAAAGACCCCCACACTCAAGCATTTTTATGATTTGCAGTTTGTTTTTGCTGTTGTGCACACTAATAAGATATGACTGTACCTGAACTGCCCTAATGTTATAAATTTCCTGGCTGCTGGAAAGCTGGTAAACACAGCTGTTATCATAACAGTCTCCTCAACAGGCAGGACAGCGAGCCTAAGCTGAGCAGCAGTTTCTCTATCATCTCTACCTGGAGAATATCTGAGAACAGCATGGATTACATGCATGAGCAACCTGATCCTGGGCCAGGGAATTCAAAAGATATGAGTCATGTCACCACACAATTCAGCAGTGGGCAAGGTCAAAGATATCGGGATGCACTAAAATCAGGTGCCAAACATGCGTAAGACAATGTCAGTATATAATTTCAAATACAGAGTGCAGCCTGAAATAAATTTATTTTTATTATAGGTTCCTTTTGGAAAAGTGCTCCTACAGTAGAGCTTTCAAATTGGAAATTGCATCTAGCACATTATCTATAGTTATTGGGCCATCCTAGTGTTGCCCCAGAGATTACCTGAATGAATAGGAGTGGAAGAATTGATGCTAACAATAATTTATAGCTACATTTTTGTCAGTATGAAGAGAGAAAAATAGCACAAGTAACACATTGCCCATGAGATTAGCCATTTTGCAGTAATGTTTTAGTTTAAATGGTTTGAGAGTGGATCTGTGAGGATTTGCCTTGGTGATGTATTGGGTTTTGGGGGTATTTTGGCTTGATTAATCTTACAAACTGAAAGGTGTTCATTTATGACTCTTTATTGGTTCTTGACTTAAGTGTTTTGGGTGCCATGACCTTTTCACAAAAAATTACAAGTGAGTGAAGCAACACCCTTTGTACTGACCCTTATCAGACCTTGAAATGTGAGGTTTCAAGAAGCTGCAGAGGTGGCCAGTGTATGAAAAGTATTTAGATTATTTTTCACAAAGCATATTATCAACAAGTCTTTCGTAGAGTATTATCCTTCAGAAATTTTGATTTAGGAAACATCAGGTAAGCTTTAAGTTTTTATTATTCTCTCTTTTTTTTTCTGCTTCCTTGTTATGAAGACACAGTTAAATAATATTCAGGATAAATAAAGTAAAATCATTGTTTCTTCTCTTTTTCTAACTCCTACCAAATGTCCAAGCTTTTAACCATAAACTAACTTGTGAGCTCCTACTGCAAAACTGTGAGTGCCTGAAATCAACCTCTTAGCTGATAAGTTGGCATATAAACATCTCATGGGTTGATAGGACAAAAAAGCTTTTATTTGTGTGTGCTTTGTCTAGCCTAGGTGAGCAAACAAGGTTTTCTAATACTGGGTAGAGCACACTTAACAGTTCATGATCAACTTCTTAGAAATGTTCCAAATAGTTTATTAAATACTTAAAGTGTTGTAAAATTCAGTTATACACTGTTTCACTGGTAACTACCCTTGCTGGTAAAAACTATGACTTATTTTTCCAATTTTTTCCCCAGACTTCAAGTTCCACAACTGGATTTTTGTCTGCTCGTTTCTTATCAGTACATTTATGAGTACTATTTTAAATTCGTGTTTCAGACACAGTGGTGTATTGAATAAAAGAAGCGGAAAACACCAATACTGGTACACGTTTCCTCTTTGGGTTAGTTTATCCCCAGTATGAAGTAATCACATAATTTCATACAATTAATTCATTTACATCTTCTCAGTTTCCAAAAATAGGTGTCATCCACTTCTCACTTTAAATGGTAGTTCTTATTAAAGCAAGAAGCTTGCTCTGATCTTTCACTGATTGAGCATAGTTGAGTCCAGAAAATTTTCCAACTAACTTGTCCAATTTCCAAATGGTGAAAGAAGGTACAAGCTAGTTGTTTTTAAAAATAAATGGACCAATATTTAAAAAGCACTAAGAGTCTTTTCATTCAATATGTTCCCAGAACATTGTACTATTTCCAATTATCCTGCTTTTCTTCAAGCCTAGAAACAACAAATGAAAAACAGATGTCACGTTCTGTTGAAGGCTACTGATGGAATGGTAGCTGCTCTTGCTTATTGGAAACTGTTTTAGAGTTATTTCCCTCTCTTTTAGTTACCATGACAATATTTGGCCTAATCTCATGGGTTTTTTTCACATCTAAGAACACTGTGTAGGCAAGTGGAATTATCGTTAAAATTAATTCTGTTCAGAACTGATAAAGAATGTCTTAACAGTGCCCTTGTTTTAAATGTTGCATTCTTACTATCATTCCTTCAGGAAAGGTTACATGGAAAATACAAAACTGTAACTGTCTTTAATTATAGTAAATTGTTCTCTGAATATAGTAGGTTGTGCCTCATGTTGCTATGAAAATATCCTTTTTGTGTTGATAATATTCCACTGTCCTACAAAAGGATGAAGTTACTCTGCCAGACTTACCTATGAATGTGTAAAGACCAGCTCCCAAATTTATCTGGATATTAAAAAATTTATTCAACGTATCTTGTATTTAAAAAAACCCAAAACATTCTAGATTTGGCTTCTTTAAAAAAAACACCTCTAATATGAAAGCATTCATTTGTACATAAAAATACTATCACACAGACACCTGGCTATCCTACTTATAAGCCCCCTTTAGTCTCCTTACCAAGTTCCAGTGGGCTGAATTGTGGGCTGTTTAAAAACATACTTCTAAAAACCTCGTGCAAGAGAGTTACTAGAGGGGAAAATGTACGTGCACTGAGTGGAAGGACACCTGTGGGAAATTCATTCATCTCAGCTTTCCTTTTGCATGCTAGCAAACAAAAATCTTTTACGATGTTCAGGGTCATTTATACATGTGGAAATCAGAGTAGTGGCCTGTAGTACAATTTGCATAAGGTTACTATAAAAATACATGTAAACTAACATGACATGCCTTCTACTAGGGTTTATTGCTGAATGAAAAAATTATTTGGGTTGGAAGCAACCTTAAAGATCATGTACTTCCAACCCCCTCCCTCTGCCCATATTGCAGAGACATCTTCCACTAGACAAGGTTGCTCAATGATCCATCCAGCTTGGCCTGAAACACTTGCAGGGATGGAGCATCCACAACTTCTCTGGGAAACCTGTTCCTGTGCCTCACCACCTTCAGAAAAGAGATTTTTTTCCAATATCTAATCAAAACTATCTATCTCTTTCAGTTTCAATCAATTCCCCCTTTTCTTGTCACTACATGTTCTTGTAAAACATCTCTCTCCATCTTTCTTGTACTCCCTTCAGGTACTGAAAAGTCACAATAGCATCAACCCAAAGCCTTCTCCGGGCTGGAAAGAAACAACTGTCCCAGCCTTTTCTCACAAAAGTGTTTCTCCACCCCTCTAATTATCTTAGTGGCTCTTCTCTGGACTCCTTCCAGCAGATTGATGTCCTTCCTGTGCTGGGAGCCCAGAGCTGGATGCAGGTTCCAGGTGGGCTCTCCCAGAGCAGAGCAGAGGGGCAGAATCCCCTCCCCTGCTGCCCACACTGCTCTGGATGCAGCCCAGGACACGTTTGGCTTTCTGGGCTGGGAGTGCCCATGGCTGGGTCATGTCCAGCCTCTCACCCACCAGCACCCCAAGCCCTTCTGGGCTGAGCTGCTCTCCATCTGTTCATCCCCAGCCTGTGCTGGTACCGGGGATTGCCCTGACCCAGGTGCAGCACCTTGGTCTTTGTCTAGTTAAACCTCATGAGGTACCCATGGGCCCAGTTCTTGAGCTTGTCCAGGTCCCTCTGGATGGCATCCTGTCCTTCAGGTGTGTCATCTGCACCACTCAGCTCAGTGTCAACTGCAAATTTGCTCAAGGTGCACTTGATCCCTTTGTCTACGTCATTAATAAAAAAATTTATTAACAGTGGTCCCACTACTGACCCTGAGGGATCCCACTTGTCACTGATGTCCATCAGAGCTCTGAGCCGTTGATCACTACCCTCTGAATGCCCTTGCTGAAGCCATGATGCCCTGAATCCCCTCCCTCTCCTTCATCTGCCTTAGCACAGCTTCTAGAAGGAACTGAGTCATAGACCTAAAACTCATCCCATGCCTACAGGTCGGAACAGATCAGAGGAAGACTGTGAATCTGGAAAGTTTTCAACAACTGCAGCAGATAAATGTTTCACTGTTTGTGTCTGAGTTCCATAAAGTCACTCCTTTATACTATGCAGGAATACCATGTCCTGCTTTGGAAAGGATCAGAGATGAGCTAATGGTGTGATGAAAGGCTGGAGAAACATGGTTGGAAAAAAAGCTCAAGGATTGCCATCTATTTACTGGACTAACAAGAAGATTAAGGATTGATGTGCTATGAAATCTCTGACTACCTACGTGAGGAATTGCCACTTGATATGTTTGGTCTGTTGGAGAAAAGCACAGATGTCAGTGCCTGTAAGCTAGAAGTGACCAAGGCAACTTTAAAAATTAAAAGCAAAATTAGACCATTGTATGTAATTGACAGTATTAAAAGAGTTTGTGAAATGCTACAGTAGATTCTTGATTGCTGATAAATTGAAGTAGCATTGAGAATTATTTGTAGAAGTTACACAGAAGTTCAAACAAGATCTAAAATAGGTGAGTGCTCTCATCCACACAACACAAGGAATAATAATTAAAGATTGCAGTTTTGGCTACTTGGAGCTTGTATAACGAAATGTCTGAAATTTTGCTCTATAACAAGCAATTTAAAAAATCAAAAATAAATTTTTCTAAATAGTTACTTGGATCGTGACCTGAACTGGTATCTATCTATGTAAGGCAGAATCCAATAAATTGTTTCTATCTTGTGATTCCTAGAGATTCCAGCTCCTCTCTGTACCCCAAAGATTGTATATGAATATATAAGGTACAATAGATCTCCATCCATCAGGGATGGGAACTGGAGGCCAAAAGGTTTCTCACAGGCATCCCAGATGGCATTTAGTGAATATACTTAGGCACCTAAATGCCTCTTAAAAGGTTAAATTTGAGGCCTTTCTTCCAGATGAAGGACTTTGGAGCAGAGAAGACAGATTAGTAGAGTTTGTTGGCAGACATTGCATCTACTTCCTCCTCTTTTTGCATGTGCCACCTGATATATAGTTGAAGCACTCACTGTTAAGTCCTTTCCATTTTCCATGAAAAAATAATGTATGGGATACATTCAGATCACTCAGGTTTGCTAACTACAATTCCCACTTCTTTTAATAGAAGCAGATATATTGTACCGAATTGAGAATTTCCACATTTCAAAGAATATTTCAGATGGTGTATTAATAGTTTGTTAATTATTTTAGTTTAAAAAGTATTGCAAGGAATTTCCAGATTTATATATGTTTGTGTCTTCTGAAGACAGTTTTGTGCTGGGAGGTACTTTTCATTTCAATTGCTTGCAGTACAGCACCTCTTATACCTCATATGTCAGTAGATATTCTCACTATTTTATGCATATATATGTATCGACACATGTTTAGACTCATATAAGTCTGTGTGTGTATGTACTTACAATGTTTGTATATATAATCCACTGTATAATCCACACATATATAATCCACTAAAACGTATTATGAGTTTCTGACAATTCTTAAACTGGTGCAAATACATCCTTTTTTCCTCCCCTCATACTGACCAGCAATTTAAAAACAGATTTTCTACCAGAAATTTCTTGGAAAACAAATGGGCTTCACGTTATAGCCTGAATATAAAAGTGAATGTTGATGTCCTGAGGGTACCCTGATGCTGTGGCACACCTGATCACAGTCACAATGAGCATAGTCAGCTAGCTTTTGTCTCTCCTACTACAGTTCTAAAGCAATGTTATATAATGTGCATGGGACAAAGATTGCCTCTCTAAAAAGGTGAACAAGTGATCAGTAAATAAGGTTCCTAAATAAAACATCATGCAGGAGACCTTCCCACTTTAGGTGAAAAATACTCCATGTAATAACAGGAAGGTGTGCATTATGGGTTCAAAAAATAGGTTGTTTCAAACAAGTTGATGGACCAGAATGGAAGTAGGTGATACAAATTAATTTCAGACTTGATTTTATCTTCTCTAGTCACTATAGCTAAGATTTGAGGCACATAGTATTTTGAAGAAGGAAAGAAACCCATCAGTGTTTTCTTTCAAAATACAGCTTTTAATAGGTGCTTGAAAACAGATGATGAAACCTGGATATTATAGGGTTTTCTTGAAGCTGGCAGCTTTCCTGTCCTGACATGAGACCTATCTTTCAGAAAAGTTTAGCACAGAACTTTCTTAGGGTGGTACATTGCTTCATTCAGTTGCCTGACACAATGTTCTTGCAGTGGTCCAAGGCACTACACTGAATTATGAGCCCAGCTGTAGTGAGTTATCAGTGACTTCAGGGAGTTTACTCATGTTCAAAGTCTGACCTGGCATTGGCTACATTTCTTGCCTCTGGATGCACCATGTCATCTCAAAGGGGTTGCTTACAAGGTCTGAAGCTATGGAAAATGTGATTTTTACATTTTCTGGTAACAGATGAACAAAGATATGCCAGGATCAAAGAAAATATCTATCATTAAGGACAGTTTGGGTGACTATTTTTTGGTTGTTCTTGAGTTACACAAGTGGCTAACATCTGAAAATTCATCCTTGCACTAAGAAAGAATATAACATTTATAACCATCTCACTTTCACTTCCCTCTGTGTATATGATACATCTAAAGTATCCAGGCCTTTCCTACACACACAATGAGGGAGGGCAAAGGAAGATACAGTAATGAGACGAATGATAGAAAAAAATTCACTATTCGCTACTTTGTGATTTAAACAAAACTATGTTGCATCTGTTCTAATCAAAACCATAACTTCTCAATGAGTACATAAGCTCATATATGAGCCTGCATATGTTCTGAAAATGCAGGCAACAACTGGCATATTGCTCAATGAAAGCAGCAAGTAGATGAAGCAGATGAGTTTCATCTAGCATCAGTCCATCTAGCATAAAAACTCATTGCTTAGGAACAGCTGACTTCATGGAGTTAACTAAAGTTTTTGTTAACCCCAGCTAGAGGGGGAGGTGTAGGCTAGACACATGCTAGAAATATAACTGTCTAACTCTTTGCCACCCTAGCAAACTGCAATGGTTTTAGCCAGCTGCTGACAAGGGCATGTCAAAGTCCTAACAATCTTGAGGGGTTCAAAACAATGCACTTCAGAAGATAACAAATATCACTGCAATGGCCCATAGTTTTTGAAATTAGTTTTAATGCCCACAATCACTGTGAAATAGTGAGAAAAAAAGAAGTAATGAGTATTTGCTGAAAGAGGATAAATTTAGGTTAAATATTAGGAAGAAGTTTTTTACTGTGGGGATGGTGAGACACTGGAACAGGTTGTCCAGGGAGGTTATGGATGCCCAAACCCTGTAAGTGTTCAAGGCCAGGTAGAATAACACCTTGACAAACCTGTTATAGTGGAAGGAGTCTCTGTCCATGGCAGGAGGATTTGGGACTAGATGACCTTCAAGGTGCATTCCAACACCTTAACATTCTCTGATTCTATGATCCTATGATTTGGACTTTTTCCTGGAGGGATTCAAGCAGATGCATTAGACTTTGTAGGATCTGTGCTGTATCTTCTGCCTGTCATGCTCCCACAGGGAGGTGATTAGGTTGTGCTATGGAGGTATCCTGAGGAAATTGACAGTTATGTGAACAAGAGAGGAAGGTTCCTGCTGCCCACACCAGCATCAGACCTGCCAGTTACCTGCTGTGTCCGAAGATATTGACAGGAAATTGCCTGTTTGAGACTCTTTCATAGTGGGTTTTGTTCCTCCTCAGAGACACACAGGTATGCTTGGTTAAGGAAAACAAATGATCGAGGCTGAGAACTTTTACTTCCAGCAGTTTTCACTGAGCTGTATTTAGAATAAGAGATCTCCACCCTCATAGTGCTGACAACAGCTATTTAATCTAATTGTTGAAGACATAAACCAATTTCCTGCCTGAGTACATTAACTGACATTCAAATTACATTACCATGCATTCTTTCACTCATACTCTGAGGAAAATAAGAAGAAAAAGAAAATTTAAATTTGTCTGTTGACATCAAAAAAGCTGACCCCAAAATCTGAGGGGGACTCAGAAGAGCTTACAGAGTGTAAACTTCAATGTTGCTGCACTTAAACTGCTAATTTTGGTTGTGTGAAATATTAGGGTTGGAATTAGGTCTGCCAAAAAGTAAAGGTTTGGAATGTCCAAAACAGTTCTTGAATTTGTATGTCATTTGTTAACCAGCTCAAGCTGAAGGCAAAGAGATGCTTTCTGGAACACAATTTTAACATTTTCAAAGTGAGGTGTTTCAATTTTTCACTCTAAAACAATTTTTTGTTTCACCATTTAGTTAGCAATGATAACTAAATAACATTGACGTGTCCAGAATTGATCTAAACATTTTGTTTCAGATCAAGGAAAACTGTTTGTTCAATTCATGATCTTTTTCCTTAAAATATCTGTTATTTTATTATTACTCTTGCAGTCAGTTTGTTGCTAGCATGCCACTTGACAATCACAGAAGTATGCACCTTGGGAAATTGCCTTAACAAACTGCTGGAAGAAAACCTGTGCATTTTCTGTAATGGCAGCACAAGGGGTGGGGAGGCCAGAGGCAGGAGGAGAAAACTGCAGGAACTTTCATGCCAGATCCCTGGTGTTACAATTTTAAACAGGGATGATCCAATGCCTCTCAATAAAAAGAGTGATGACACTTTCAAATGAAGACCTTCTTCTGCAAACCTGGACTAAGAAACAAAAATATCTTCAAGCATGATTTTTTAACCTCATTTCTTCTGTGAGAACCTTTATACCCACAAAGAAAAAAATGACCCAGCTTTTCCTTTTTAGCTTCCATATACTTTTAGTGTTATGTCACCATAAACTGAACTACTTAAACGACATAAATTAGCTAAAGTGAAGAAAAAGAAAATAATTTTAAAATGAAGTTTGTACTCTTCAAATTGCCTGTTAAATGAACCTTTCAGATCAACAATCTGTTCTGGCCTTTATTGAAAGCGGGCTGGTTTCTTAAGCTCAAGTTCTTATATTTCACATGATGGTTACCAATACACTAAAGAACATTGTAAGACAATAGAAATGCAAAATACCTCCTGTTTAATATGATCAAGGACTTCCAAAAAAACCAAATTATGTTTATCCTTTACCTTATGTTCAAGGGAAATATAGGACATGTTTTTAGACTAAATTAATACATTGTTGTTCAAAAACTCACTTACTCTGTGACTGTAGTCTGTCATTTATGGTTATTCCATAACTGTGTTAATTTATATTATTTGTAGAAAGAGCATGTTTGAAAGAGGGATTGGTTTCTGTTAACTAACATCCCTCCTCTGCTATCTGGCCACATTTGAAGGAATGTGACCCTGAGCCCAGGAAGAGTATGGCAATTACAAAGATTGTTCTTCAGTCTGGAAAAAGTCTCTGCCTTCACCAAAGAACAAACATGGGCAGGAAAAAATGATGAGGTAAAGTTGGACATGAATAATAGAGCTCCCTCTCATCTTTCATTGTAGACTAGTTGGCCCGGTGATAAGTTTACATGAGAATTTCCTTCACACCCGCTTTGTATTTACAACCATCCTTTGGAATGGGGTCTTGCTGTGCCAAGAACTTTGCAAAGATGTGGGAAACAAATGCTGTGGCAAGAGGGAGGGAAGTTTGCAATCCACTGTGTACAGACATTTTCTGCTTCTTGGTAGGTGTGCAGAATCTTCAGTTTTGCAGTTTTGCAGTTCAGCAGGGTCCTTCCCTCATTGGTGGGTCTCCCCGCTGATGTAGGTGGGGGAGCCGTGAAGGAGGTGAGCTCCTTCATGGTGCTGAGTGACACCCTCAGTGCTGAAGTGACATTGGATGTTGTCTCTGGAGCAGACAGCACTCACAGTTCTTCAGGTGACAAAGTAGGGTTGTCAGGTCTGGGGTAGAAAAGGATTTGGGTAGAGACAAGACTTCACAGGAGAAAAGTACAGAGTCATGAAGGGCTTTGGAGAGGAGGAAACCTGCTGAGAAGGATGCCCATCTTGCTTTAATTTCCTGCATTATCAGTAAAGGGTGTATGCTGTCTTAAAGATATTTTTAACCCTCCTTGAGTTAAATTGAAGATTCACCCTTCTGATTGTACAATTCACATTTGAAGTACTTATTGCTCTCAGGTAAATCCAAAGACAAAGACTCAAAAAGAAGCTTTAATTTCCCCCCCGGCCAAAGCAGAGATCTGACCTAGGATAATCCATACTTTATGCACAAAATTAGGACATCTGCAAGAGATTGAATAAGTTCCCCAGGAAAGTGGAAGTGAAAAACATGAAAGAGTGGAGCCACTCTTATGATGACATAACCCCCCCCCCAAACAAAAACATATAAAAAAAAAGAAGCCCAAAAACTTACAAACAAAACCATGTTTCAGATAAATAGTGAAGGCATATATTTTTTTGTTTCAGTCATTGAATTCTTATTGTGCCACAACACAGAAGTGTCCTTCTGCTTCAGATAACTTCAGTACTTGCTACATAGAAAATATGTATCTCTAAGGAAAAAGGCACTTTTCCAGATGAAACATTGACATAACAGAAATTTATTCACATCCATTATTCTAGGAAGGTTTGATGAAAAACCCTGGTTGTCCCTGAGGGAACTGACTGTTACAAATCTGAGGTGAAGCCATCCCATTGAGTATTTGAAAGTATTTAATTGATAATCCATAGCATCTCTTTCTCTGTGTATATCTGGTATACAACAGCTGTTAATGGTGCATTATAGCACATGTTGCACTTAATTATGATACATTGTTATAGGCAATATTTCATTGTCAAAAATACCTTATTAAAGGTCTGAGATGCTTTTCATGTCACTTCCTGACTTTATTAAAGGAATACATTTTTTGTTAAGTCTTAAAAATATTTACATAATATAAAAGAATCAGCACCTCCCCCAATTTATTTATCTGCGTATACAGATGGAGATCTCTCTTTCAAACTGTAATCGGAGTTACACAGCTACTCTAAAACCTTGAGTTAGCAGAAACTGATGACCTTTTGTTTTCGTAAAGGATAGTGTTCAAAACAGGAAGAATTTGACTGAAAGAACTCTGTGTCTCTTATATTCCTTGCTTCTCATTGAACTGATAAAATGTTCCAGGAACTTCATCTCTCTGGGTGGGCATGAAAATATGCTGGCAAGATTTCTTTAAAGAATACTACAAAGTGCCTTAAAAGCAACAATTTGATTTTGTTTTAGAAAGAGGCCATGTGAGAAAAATTGCTATGAATATGAATTCTCTCTCTTGTTCTCTTCTTTCAAGAGATGATCAATAAAGTGTGGGGTTAAAAAATACAATGTAATTGTGTTTGTTTATACAATCTACAGTGTTCTATGAAAATTATATTTTCTCAGAACTGGGGAAAAAATTACCCCATAGATGATGTCTACTCATTAATTACAACAAATACCAATAAATTAGATGGGGATGGTGAAGCTCAAATTCATTCAGGTGGAATAGCAGAGCAGATTACCCAATACACAGCATGCAGAAATATTGACTGATTAATTCAAAATCACTACAATCATTTCAGTGTTTTTTCAGTGAAATTTTGTGAACACTCACACAGAAGAACTTGTCACTCACTGGTAAGAAAATATGTCAATGCCACTTTTGGAAACAATCTGTGATATCTGCTTATCATAAATGACAGACTGCAAGTACATTCTCTTGTTACTTATTTGAACATTTTTAAAAAAGAAATAATCCTATTACCTGCTAGTCTAACCTCAATGCCTGCAAAGTATGTAGAAGATTACTTTAAAAATAATGCAATCATCAGACACAGTCAAAAAATTCGTGGAGTTACAATTGGAAAGCCCTTTTTAAGCACTTTGATGCCTTTCAATGTAAGGTTACATTTTTAGTGAATGAACAGGAGGTAGTGCACATAGTTTTTCTTGATATTAATAAGGCTTTTCATGCTGTTCTTCACAACATCTGGGTAAGCTGTTCAGCTGAACAGGTACACAGTGCTGAGTGAAGGACTTGCTGAAGGGTAGAGTTCAAAAGTCTGTTGTGTATGGGGCTACATGTGGGTTCTGACCAGTCACCAGTGGTGTTCCTCAAGATTCAATTGTAGGGCAATTTCCATTCAGTGTGTCTATCCATGGTCAGGATGCAGGAGTTTAATGCACCATTGGCAAATTTGCTGATGATACCAAATTGGAGGTACTTTTGATTCTCTCAAGTCACAAGAGCTTTGCAGAGGTTCTGAAATAGATTAGAGCACTGTGTAATTATCAGTGGCATGAAATTAAACAAGAACAAATCCAGATTCTGCCCCTGGCATGCAGTAAGGCTGGGCACGGGTATAAGCTGGGAGAGGAGT